CCAGCCCTGCGCTAGCAGAGTGTGGGATGTTTCCCAGAGCCCCACGTGCCTGTGTGCGTGGACGCGCTTATCCCAACGGAGCCGCTCAAAGCTTCGGAAGTTCGTGAGTCATTTGCTTCAAATATCCTTACATCAAGGACAGATTCCCTTCCCTGGTAGCCAACTCCCAGCAAATTAATTAAGAGGGGCTCAGCATTTAAACCACCATGTTTGCTTGAAGCACAGCAGGAGGGGCCCTTCTCTCCCTCCCAACCCAATCCTGAGGCTTAAGAAATGTTTTGCCATCATGAGACCTGCTCCCGAGTTTGTTCCACTGTCTAGGTCAGGTGACCACTGGAGTGAGAGAGAGGAGAGGACACCAGCCTGTCCCTCCTGCTTACAGAGGAACTCAACTAAAGGACACTAGAGGCCCCCTGGTGACAAAGACAAAGCAACCTGGAAATCATCCTTGGAAACTCATGAGTGAGTTCCAGTGTAAAAGTGGACAGGCAGGACTGAGGGGACATCTGAGCCACAGCATCCTTCAGCTCCTGGGTGTCACAAGTGCATGACTGATCCTTAATGGAGCAAACCCTGGATGACAGTGGAGACCTACAGGGCTCCATAGCCCCTCCTTGGTGGTGCACGGCTGTCCCACAGCTGTGAACATGGGCAGCTGAGGAAAGTGCCAGATATGTCTGAGCAGGTAGGAGAGTCTCGGGGCCCAGGTGCCAGCAGGCAGGGTCTGAGAACATCACAGCTAGGAAACCTTTCCCGAGCACTCGCTGTACCCCAACCACCCATGGCCCAGGAGATCCCGCAGTGGGGCAAATGCAGCCATGGAAATGAACTGGCTTGAATTGCCGACAGCTCCCTTTACAAGTTTTCAGATTAAAGCCCAGGAAATGATTTTCTATTTTTTTCCCAGGAGACTTTATGATTCCAGACTCAGAACATGACCAGCAAGGGAGCTGTCACAGAAGGAGGGTGCTTCACTCTGGGGAGCCCTCCTCTCTCAACCTCAAGTGAACTTCTAACCCATCTGACACTCACCCTCTGCCAGCACAGTGTGAGGCTGGAGCTCAGCGCCCTGGAGAACCTGTGCTAGGTGATTTTCCATCTCTGGCGGTTCCTCGCTAGTGTCATCCATACCTCTGCATGAAGCATCAAGGTCGGGGCGAGGGCATGGAATCTCATCAAATGACTCCAAAATAAAGCAGCAAGTGGAGCAGCAAATCATCACAAAGATAATAACTGTCACTATCATCATCATCATCACCATCATCATCACCATCACCATCATCACCATCTCCATCAACATCATCATCTCCATTACTGTCATCCTCATCACCATTGTCATCATCATCATCATCACCATCACCACCATCATCACCATCACTATCACCATCATCATCAGCATCACCATCATCACCACCATCACAACCATCATCACCATCACCACCACCACCACCACCATCACCACCATCATCACCATCACCACCATCATCATCACCACCATCGTCATCATCGCCACCATCATCAGCATCACCATCTCCACCACCATCATCACCATCACCACCATCATCACCATCACCACCGTCATCATCACCATCACCATCTCCATCAACATCATCATCTCCATTACTGTCATCCTCATCACCATTGTCACCACCACCACCACCACCACCACCACCACCACCACCATCATCACCATCATCACCATCATCCTATCCATCACCATCATCACCAATATCTTCATCGTCATCATTACTACCGTTGCCACCACCATCATCACTTGGACCATCACCACCATATCATCATTATCTTAGCAATAGAAGCAAACATGTACTGAGCAGCTGTTACGTTCCGACCACAGAGCACTTGGCAGGTACTGTGTCACTTAATCTTTACAACATTATGAGATGGTTGATTCTGTAATTTCCACTGAGGCACACAGAGGACAAGCAAGCTGCCCGAGTTCACACAGCTATTAGAGGATGATGTCAGGGATGTGAAGGGAGGCAGTGGCATTTTAAGCACTACACTGAAACTAGGAGGGAGTCCCAATTCACTTCCCTTACTGAGGGATCTTGCAAAGGGGTTCCTTTGACAATCCCAATCATTATTCCATGTAATGTTAGCTCCTGAGGGACTGCAGAGTGCCCCACATCACCAGCCCCCTCCCCCTTCTATGCCCACCAATGCCTGTGCCACAGGCAGACAGGGAAACGTAACATGCCCCTTCTCAACATCTCCCAAAAATACAATGTACAACTCCCAAAACCTGGTTCCAAACATCCGTCTCTGGACAGCAAAACTGACTTCACGAATTCTCTCCATCACTTCCTAAAACCTGAATTCTAGACTTTGGGGTGGCCCTGGCAGCTCATGAGCACAGATGGGAGTGCTGAGATGACAAGACTCCCACATCCCTGGCAGCCTGGTTGCCCTCGACACCTGCAATGCTCCTCTCTGAGTCACTCTTGCTGGATATAAAAACAACTGGTGTCTACGGAGGCTCTTAGGTGCCAGGCACAATGTTTTAAACTCGATTCATTCACGGAATCCTCACAGCAACCATTTAGGAGAGGCGTTTATTTAATTTTGCTGATGAAGCAGAGAGAGACGAGAACCTTCCCGGGGTCACACAGCTACACGCGGCAGAGCCCAGATTCACATGCTGCTGACCACTCGGGCACAGTCCCCAGACCCCCTTGCACCTTGAATTCTGCCTGAGATGTGTGAGTAGCAGTCACGCTCCACAAAGAGGGAGGGGCCTGGGTCTGCATCTGACCATTACCGAGGCAACGTGGACTCCCGGCCTGGCATGCCCGCTTGGGCTCTCGTGCCCCGGAGGCTTCTGTCACTTAGGTGGGACCAGCTGGCCTTGGATGGTTCCCTGGTTAGAGGAATCGCCCCAGGATTTCCTGTCTTTCCTCGCCTCGGCCTGGAAGCTGAGAGACCGCTGGCTGTCCCTTCTCTGCCTCCAGCGTCACTTCCCAGAATTAGCATCTCTCTGTATCCAAACACACATATTTACCCCCCCTTTAAATCTGTTTTGCTAAACAAATTAACCTCACCCCAGATTATATTATGAGGAACCATACATCTCTTCCAAGATAAGCATCTGTCGAGTTGGATTAGCGGCATCCGGTGCACTGGGAATTAATTTCCGTGGCCTTATAATGCTGTCCCCGGCGGTTAACTTTAGTAATAACAGAGGTAATCGGGAATAAATGGGAGCTTGTTTTCTCAGCCACGTCTGCGTGGTACGTGACCTGTGCCGAGGGGGACAGTAACGGGGGGCAGCACTCAATTCCATCACCACGATGGCTTGAGCTTATTGGGGTAAACACGAAGGCTTCGCAGACTGCTCTGGGCGCCCGGCAGAGATGAGGAGTGGCAGGCCCGAGGGGCCACGCGTTCCAGAAGGGGGCTCCGCGGGGTCGGCCCGGGCCAGCCCTGCAGACCCGCTCCCGCCACACGCCCGAGCTCCCGCCCAGCCCTGGCACAGACGGAGCCAGGTTTCGCTTTCATGGTTACGCGGCTCTCTAGGGAAGAGCAGCTCAGAAGGAAAAACACGGCTCTCTTGTCCTGGTGACGGGAGAAAGTAGGCCACGGAACAAAAACCACGCACTCTTCAGAAACCTGTCCAACCAGTGGCCACGGCCTGCCTGCCTGCCAACCGGGGTGCGGAGACTAGGGCGGGGGCCGAGTGCAAAGGGAACTGGCTGGGGTGCTGTGGGTGGGCCCCGAGGGGAAATCCTCTCCTTCCCCCTGAGTTCTGAAGACCACCCACCAGGGGCCGGCGGAGCCTCAAAACCTTAGGAAGCACAGGAGCAAACNCTTTCATGGTTACGCGGCTCTCTAGGGAAGAGCAGCTCAGAAGGAAAAACACGGCTCTCTTGTCCTGGTGACGGGAGAAAGTAGGCCACGGAACAAAAACCACGCACTCTTCAGAAACCTGTCCAACCAGTGGCCACGGCCTGCCTGCCTGCCAACCGGGGTGCGGAGACTAGGGCGGGGGCCGAGTGCAAAGGGAACTGGCTGGGGTGCTGTGGGTGGGCCCCGAGGGGAAATCCTCTCCTTCCCCCTGAGTTCTGAAGACCACCCACCAGGGGCCTGCGGAGCCTCAAAACCTTAGGAAGCGCAGGAGCAAACCGGGGCTGGACGAGGCTGCTGGTGCTCACGCCCTGGGAACTGCACCCCCCTTTTCTGAAGTTAGCAACTATGGCTGCTTGTCACATGCACAGGTCCGACCTATGAACGTGGGTCACAGCGGGGCATGGGCCACAGCCATTCAGAGACGGGACGCTGGAGGCCCCTCCTCTGCACTCCCCTTGGCCCGTCGCGGCGTGGGGCAGCGGAGACACAGAGGCGGAAGAACCAAAGCCCTTGGTACCGACCTTCGTCCCCCAAACACCTCCGAGGACACGGCCGTCCCCAGCCTGAGCCCACCTGCAGAGCCTCAGCCAGCACCCCAGGGGGCTCCTCCTCTGGCCCGGCCCCCATCTCCCCTTTGGTCCAAGGCGAGTCCTCATTCCCGGCGCGCCGGGCAGTGGCCACCCACAGAGCCACACCCGTGAAGGTGTCCGAAGACTCCACGTGGCCCCCGACTTCATCAGATGCGCCCACGCCCTGCCCCCGAGCTGGCCCCCGGGCAGGAAGCTCCGCGTTCCGGACGGCGTCGCCCTGGTCGGGCAGGGCCTGTGGCCCCTCACGCAGCACGGCAGGCGCAGCGCCCGCTCTGGGCCTCTCCCCCCGACTCGGCAGCCTGGCTCCCCCTCGAGCACACCCACACCCGCCAGCACACGCGCGTGGGCGGGTTCGCCGACAGGGCACCCAGCCCTCCCAGAGGCCCCGCACCCAGCTCCTGACCCTCTGCCTTTGCTCCAGTGTCTGCTGCGGGAACACAGTCCCACCAAGAAGCACCCCCGGCGCTGCTCAGCACCCTTCCCGAGCCACGTGCCCAGGAAACCCCTCACCCCAAGCGAACCCCAACCAGAAAAGAGGGGGCGTACCTGAGGTCTCCCCCGGAATCCGCGGGGGCTTGGTGTCTTTGCCGCCGTCTCTGCTGGGACTGGTGGAAGGCTCCGTTGTGCTCAGCCCAACCGGGATCCTATGCCTGGGGTCCAGGGGCGCCGTGACCCCCTTAGTCTGCAGTGTCGTGGAGGTGGCCGTGGCGGCCGTGGCGGCCGTGGCGGCAGTGGCCGGGGTTGTCTTCCGTGTTTGGAAGTAGGAGGCTGTGGTGGGGCCGCGGGGAAACGTGTTGGACTCCAGGGCCTCTTCCTCCCCCGTGGGCCCCCACGCGATGAACTCGGTCTCCGTGGTGGGCCTGCTGCCTCGGAGGTCGAAGCCGTTGAGCCCGACCTCCTGCAGCTGCCGCCGTCCCCTCCGCAGCAGGGCCTGCTGGTCCGAGGGGGCCGCGCTGCCCACCGGGGACGACGGGGAGGGCGGGGAGGGGCCCAGGGAAGGGCTGGATTTGGCAGCAGCTGGGGGCTTGGTGAGCCCCCCTTTGGGCACCAGGGCGGCCACCTGGTCCCTGGGTCTGTGCGCCCGTTTGGCACGGGGACTCAGCATCTGCCCGTGACTGCGCTCCACGCGGGCCGGGCGGGGGCTCCACAGGGGCGCGGGGATCCTGGCCGGCTGTCCGCTCTTAAAACTCCACAAGCGGGGCGGCCGGGGCGACGGGCGGGGCAGCAGCCGGAACTCGGGGCCGGGGCCCAGGGCCTCGCACGCGGGCAGGTCCATGGCGAGCTGAAACATGGCGATCAGGATCCAAGCGTGGCTTCCCAGGGCGCAGCCCGGCCAGCGGATGGACATGGAGCTGCGTGGGAGAGAGAGGGGCAGGTCAGTGCGGGGACCCCGCGGCGCCTGCCCCCACGCCCATGGCTGGGAACCACCCTGCTTAGCGCCCGGCTAATCCCGACGTCAAAAGGGACACGGGGCCGCGCATTCCTCTGCTTCAAAGCCGGTTCCGAGATCTGTCCGCCAGTCCTTAAAGGGACAGGCCCGGCCGCACGTGTTCACGAGAGCTGGTTCCCGCCCGCGGGGCACCTGTCACGTCTCCCCAAGGAGCCGCGATGCTCAGGTGGGGTCGATAACCACCGTCCACTGCAGGCAGGGGAAACCGAGTCCCAAGCCTCCCCCGCACCCCCCGCTGTCAGCTGACAAGCCGGTGCCAAAGACCCCGCTTTGCTGAAAATGCCCAGAATAAAACCGGGGCAGCAAGGACCTGAGGGGAGGGATGGCAGGGAGGACCGGGCGACGCTGCTCAGGTCGCAGAGGCCGCCCACCCGAGGCGGTGACCCCCACTGTGCACCTGCCTCTGCCGAGGTCTGGAGGGGCAGGTGTCCACTCTCAGGGAGGTGGACCCATGGACTTCACGTGGGGCAAAGGCCAGGCGTGTCCTGGGCCCGCCACACCCTGAGCGTGAGGCTTTGCCCTCCCCCCCGCTCGGGTCTCAGTGGAATATGCACATTTTAAAGGCGCTGTGGCCTCGGCGTCTTACTGGGGAAAGCTGCTTAGGTTTGGCCTCCTCTGGATTTCGCTCCGTCACCTGCGACCTGCTGTGGATCCCTGGAGGGCTCAGGGGCGCACCAGCCCTGCCCAGGAGCCTCTGCTGGCACCCGCGCTTCCCCCAGGTTACCTTCCGCGCAGGGGCCCTGGAAACCCTCGTTTGCCCCCTGCTCTGCTCGGGCGGCCGGAGGAAGGGCCAGCCCCACACAGCCTGGCGGTGGCGGCCCCCTCTCAGGGCGACATGAGCTTCCAGGTGCGCTCACGGGGCGTCACGTGAAATCCGGGGCTTGGGCACAGCCACGCGGAAGGGTGTGGGGATCCGGCCCCCGCGCCCCCGCCCACCAGCTTAGATAACTGAAAACGCGTTCCAGGCGCCATTCAAAGTCAGTCTCATCACCAGCAACAGTGGGAGACTTGACAGGAATCCAGGACCGAGTGGCTGCTGCGGGGGGCGGCGAGGGTGTTCCCGCACCAGGCGCCAGCCCGAGGAGCTGCTCAGAAGCAGCCCGGGAACCGGAGCCCGGCTGTTTTCCCCTCTCGGGGGCTGATTATTTAAAGGGAAATAAACCAGCGAGTGGGGGTCACGGTGGGAGTGTGTGCACGGGAGCGTCCCAGGACTGTGGGGGGGGGTGTCTGTGGGTCTCTGTCCAAGTACGAGGCTGAGTGTGCGAGCAGATGTGGGCGTGCCAGTGTGTGTGCCAGTGTGTGAATGTGCAGTGAGTGTGCATGAGATGTGTCAGGGAGTGAGGGTGAGTCAGCGTGAGGGTGTGAGTGTTGTTGTGTGCCACCGTGTGGGTGTCTGTGTGGGTCTGTGAGGTGAGCGACCAGTGAGTGTGTTGGTGTTTCTGTGTCAGTACATGTGAATGTGTGTATTTGTGTGTGTGAGTGTATCTATATGTGTGGGTTTGAGTATCTGAGTGTGTATGTATCCGAGTGTGTGTGTGTGTACCTGTGTGTGTGGGTTTGTGCATCTGAGTGTGAGTGAGTGTATCTGTGTGTGTGTGTGTGTATGTGTGTATCTGAGTGTGTGTGAGTGTACCTGTGTGAGTGTGTGGATTTGAGTGTGTATCTAAGTGTGTGTGTGTATGAGTGTGTGTGAGTGTGTGTGTGAGTGTATCTGTGTGTGTGGGTTTGAGTGTGTATCTGAGTGTGTGTATTTGTGTGAGTGTGTGGGTTTGAGTGTGTATCTGAGTGTGAGTGNTGTGAGTGTGTGGGTTTGCGTGTGTATCTGAGTGTGAGTGTATCTGTGTGTGTGTGTGTATCTGAGTGTGTGTGTGTGAGTGTATGTGTGTGTGTGTGAGTGTACCTGTGTGAGTGTGTGGGTTTGAGTGTGTATCTGAGTGTGAGTGTATCTGTGTGTGTGGGTTTGAGTGTGTATCTGAGTGTGAGTGTATCTGTGTGTCCCTCCCCTCACTGGCCCCCCAGGGCTTGCCCTCGTCTCACTGACACTTGGGAGGGTGCAGGTGTCGCCGGTTGTCAGATGCCCAAAGGAAGGAGCGGGCGTGGCGGGTGCTAATCACCAAGGGGCCTAATCCCCGGATAACGAGGCCCGGTTTGCGTGTGTTGCTGCGGAAGTTGCGGCTGCTCATGCTAATGGCCCCGCACCCGGCTGTGCCGCGCACAGTCTCTGCGTNATCTGTGTGTGTGTGTGTATCTGAGTGTGTGTGTGTGAGTGTATGTGTGTGTGTGTGAGTGTACCTGTGTGAGTGTGTGGGTTTGAGTGTGTATCTGAGTGTGAGTGTATCTCTGTGAGTGTGTGGGTTTGCGTGTGTATCTGAGTGTGAGTGTATCTGTGTGTGTGTGTGTATCTGAGTGTGTGTGTGTGAGTGTATGTGTGTGTGTGTGAGTGTACCTGTGTGAGTGTGTGGGTTTGAGTGTGTATCTGAGTGTGAGTGTATCTGTGTGTGTGGGTTTGAGTGTGTATCTGAGTGTGAGTGTATCTGTGTGTCCCTCCCCTCACTGGCCCCCCAGGGCTTGCCCTCGTCTCACTGACACTTGGGAGGGTGCAGGTGTCGCCGGTTGTCAGATGCCCAAAGGAAGGAGCGGGCGTGGCGGGTGCTAATCACCAAGGGGCCTAATCCCCGGATAACGAGGCCCGGTTTGCGTGTGTTGCTGCGGAAGTTGCGGCTGCTCATTATGCTAATGGCCCCGCACCCGGCTGTGCCGCGCACAGTCTCTGCGTCGCCCGCCATGGGGCCCGGGGAGCAGCCCCCCGCGCAGGAATTTAGGCCGCGTGAAGCTCCCCTGCACGCACGCGGGGCGCTCCTGTGGCCGCAGGTGACTGTGGAGATGAATGGTCAGGGCTCTGGTTCTCCAGAGCTCTGCACACTCAGGTGGAAGGCGGCCCTCAGGGAGTGAGATGCTGCTTCAGGCAGGTGGGCGCCTCGGCCCAGAGGGCTCCGCTGGCAACTGAGAGGCACCCCAGGCCCCAGAGGTCACCAGCAGCACTCATAGGCCCTCCTCAGACGCCGCTGGGCACCACTGGGGACCACCAGGTACTATCAGGTCCCAACCGGTATTATCAGGTCCCACTAGGTAACATCAGGCCCCACGAGACCTCACCAGGCCCCACGAGACCTCAGCAGGCCCCACCAGGTCCCATTGGCCCAACGAGGTCCCATCGGCCCCACCAGGTCCCATCGGCCCCACCAGGCCCCATCGGCCCCCACCAGACCCCATCGGCCCCACCAGACCCCATCGGCCCCACCAGGTCCCATCGGCCCCACCAGGTCCCACCGGGCCCCACCAGGTCCCACCGGGCCCCACCAGGTCCCATCGGCCCCACCAGGTCCCTTCGGCCCCACCAGGTCCCATCGGCCCCACCAGGTCCCTTCGGCCCCACCAGGTCCCATCGGCCCCACCAGGTCCCATCGGGCCCACCAGGCCCCACCGGGCCCACCAGGCCCCACCAGGTCCCTTCGGCCCCACCAGGCCCCACCAGGTCCCACCAGGTCCCACCGGGCCCCCAGGCAGGCTGAATGAGAGCAGCCAGGCAGACCTGCCCCCGTCAGCACTTGGAGAAACATCGCCCAGGAAATGAAATGGCAGCACCCAGCCTGTGCCTGCCCCGCATAACTTCACGCAGGATGTTCCCGTGGTTCCTCACCAATCCTGCCCTGCAACTGGTTACCATAGAAACCCCTCCTTTCCACGCCGCCCGGCTATTACGCAGAAAAACCAGCCAACTGCGAGGGCTGGGAGCTCGGTCTGTTTTCCTCCTCGAGCCCAGAGTCGTGCTTTCTAAAGCAGTGGGTTGGTTCGGATGGGAAGTAAGGGGCCGGGGCAAGTCCGGGCAGGGGCCGCCCCGCCCCCAGCGCGGGGAGGTCGGGGCCCCGCTGGGCCCACTGCTGCCTGAGCCCCCAGCTGCCCGGGGCCCCACCCTGAGAAGGCCGGGCCTGGGTGGCTCCTGCCCAGCAGGGTCCCAGCCTGGACTTTCAAATGGAGACCAAGCTCCCCGCCCCCCACTGCCTCCCCACGGGGAGCTCCTGTTCCGTCTCACCTGGTTTTCTAGGCTGCAGCTTTTCTGAATTAGTAAGATTCAGGGAGCTGAGATTCAATGTGATACCTTCCGTCTATTTCCTTCTTGGAAGAGAATCGCTGTCCATGAGGGGAGACAGAGGCACCTCTTCCACCTGAGGGGGCACTTCCCCCCCCCCC